TCAGGTCCCTTCCGACCCTAAAAACTATGAAACTATGACTGCAGTTGAAAAAAGGACAGATCTCTTTTTGCCTGAAACCAGAGCACTAAAGGAAGCCTGGAGGCTGATTCCATATTGCTATAGAATTGGAAGTCTGTGCAGTGCATAAATTATACTCCCCTCTCTGCTCTAATCATCACTGCAGTTAACAGTACCACCATTCTCCCCACCACGGTAGTAGAGATCATCTTAAACTTCTCTTTCTCTCTTGAGGAGTAACATTCTCGTGTTCATGCAGGGGTTTGGACCAGATGACCGAGGAGGTCCTTTCCAGCCTTGTGATTCTGTGATCTTTGTCTCACATCTCCAGACTGTATTCAGATTCTACTGCTGCTTCCTCCACAGTGTTTCTAAACCTGAACTTTATATCTGTCCAGACACTGAAACTGTTGCCTAGACTTTTAGCATCTCCCGCCTTGGCTGCTGACAATTTCCTCCTCATCCTGACATTCATATTATCCATCACTCAAAACACAGCTGCTAAGATCGTCTTCTGTCCTCCTTTTTGGACAGCCGTGCACAATGCTTTGACTCTGTTGGCTGCCCATTTCCTGCTATATCAAATTCAAGCTTCTGGTCCTTGTTTTCTAGGACTCATTAAATCTTCACCTTCATAGATTGATGGATTTTAGGGACACAAGGGACCATAAAATCATTTATTCTGAACTTCTGTGTATCATAGGTCCCTAAAAAATACCCAGTTATCCCTGTATTGAGCCTAGTAACTTGTTTTTGGCTATAACATACGTTTGAGAGAGGCAGCTGGCCTGGATCTGAAGACACCAATGAGATGGAGAATCCACTGCTTTCCTTAGTAATTAATTCCAGTGGTTAATCAATCTCACTATTAAGAATGTATGCCTTATTTATAGTTTGAATTTTTCCAGCAATTAGTTCTTATGCTGTTCTCTTTCATAGCTAAAGAATCTTTTAGTCTCTGGTGTTCTCTTCCCTGGAAGATGCTTATGTGCTTTAATCAAGTCATCTTTCATTTTTTTTTAATTGGTCAAATAGATCATTCAATGAAAGGATGCCCTACTACTTGTACACTTCCGTATATTGTGCCACTCCCTCTCCACCTCCATTTCAATAATAACACCAGTTGTAAATATCTATTTGCCTGTTATTCCACAAATACTTCTTTTGTGTTCTGTACCCCGTCTTAACCCTCCTCCAGTTAGCCCGTGGGGTCAGTAGTTTTTTTCTGTGTCATATGCTCCTTAAGACCAACCTTGAAGGTAAAAGGAATCAGAAAAACAATGTTATCTAGACTGTGTAGCAGGCAAGAATAGCTACTATTTAAAAGAAGCAGAAGAAGAAAAAAGAAAAAAAACCTGTCAAATGATTTCTCTCCAGTAAGCAGCTTAAAATTGGAATAGCCACTGGTGATACTCATTTACATTAGAAAAAGTGTTTGGTTATACATGAAGGTTTAGTAAATGAAAGTTTTTAAACTTTAGTTCTGTTATTTTATACTTGTTAGCATAAGTTCTCATTATTTCTTAAACTGTCTGATGATGTAAAAAGTATTCTTTCTGTTGGATGTGTGTGTTAATATGATTTAACTGCAAAAATTCTTTTTATAATAGTTAAGGCACCATATTGTAAATGTAGGATTGTAGGATCATAGGAAAGTAGGGCTGGAAGGAGCTTCATGAAGTCATCTAGTCCAGCCCTCTGCTCAAGGTGGGATCATCTCTGACTAAAACCATCCCAGGCAAGTGTCTGTTCAACCTGGTGTTGAAAACTTCCAAGGATGGAGAGGTAGCCTGTTCCAGTGCTTTACCACGCTCATGGTGAGAAAATTCCTCCTTGTCTCCAACCTAAATTTCTCCTGCTGTAGGCTGAGGCCATTACTCCAAGTTCTGTCTCTACTGCCACAGAAAAAAGCCCATCTCTATCCTTCCTGTAATTGCCATCAGGTATTTGAAGACTGTTATCAAATCCCCCCTCGGCCTTCTCTTCTCCAGACTAAATAAATCTAGTTCTTTTAGCCTTTCCAAAGCTTTTAATCATTTTTGTTGCTCTGTGCTGGTCTCTTTTCAAACTGTCCACATCCTTCTTGAAGTGTGGGGCCCAAAACTGGCCACAGTTCTCCAACTGAGTCCTCATCAGTGCTAAATAGAGTGGAAGAATCACTTCCCTTCATTTACAAGTGGCATCCTTTCAGTATAACCCAATATGCTGTTGGCTTTTTTTGCAACAAGAGCACTGTTGGCTTATATTCAGCTTAAGGTCTACTGTAATACATACATACATGAAGAACTCCAAGCTGTAGGTTTCTCATAGTAAAATGACTTGCTACAGTGACTTGGATATACTTTTTATTGCTAGTTAACCGATTATGTCTAACTAAGATATATTGCATAGTGTGATACATTTTTTCCACCTTACTTGTAGTGCTGGGAATATCTAGAAGCTTATAGGAAAACCTTTTCCACCTTTTCTGTATTTTGAGATGTTTTCAGTTGCAATAAATTACTTGCTTTGATATTCTGACACATGATAATCCAGTCCTTAACTGTTAATGGCAATTACTACTTTAGCTGTATCTAGGTTTCTCATTGATGCAGTAAATATAGCCTCTGTTCAGAGTTTACCGTTTCAGGTTTTTTATGACCTTGCCAAAATCCACTGTAAGTGTTTACCTTGGCCCAGCTTCCCATTTCTCTGTGGAGTTCCTGTTGGATAAAGTATTCTTTTTCACTTCCTGTCCTAAAGTGTTTGATAATGCTGCTGTGACTACCTTTTGGTAGTGGGCAAAGTAAGGCCCTGTGTATAGCTGTTTGTAAAGCACTCTAAGATGATTAGTACTGTGGAAGTACAACAGATTCTCTTTCCCTCTTTTCATTTTTTGCCTAGTTGGGAATAGATGCAAATTAAACACCAAAACCTTTTTGCACAAGAAGTTTGGAGTGGAGAATAAAATCACAAGAAAGAAAGGGAACCTATCAAGAAAGAAACTCTAATGGTTACATATGTATGCTGATGTTTCTCCCTAGATTCTCTGTGGCCGAAGATTCGGGTTCCGCTGAAGGTGGTTAGGACCTCAGAAAACAAGCTTAGTAATCGCTTTTTCCCGTATGATGAGATTGAAACAGAGGCAGTATTAGCCATTGATGATGACATCATCATGTTGACCTCAGATGAACTGCAGTTTGGTTATGAGGTAAGATGTTTGTTCTTTTCTGTCTCCAATATGCTATCAGACTAGCAGCATACATCTGTATCTTAATGTGGGAGAAGGGGCCAGATGACCTCCTGACACAAATTCTAGATTCCGTTGACTTCGGTTAAGCAGTGCTGATTTATTCCCACTAAAGATGTGGTCCAAAAATCACAACACTCTTAAGCTTATGAAGCTTATAACTTTTGAACTAAACTTTTCATTTATTGTGAAATTCTTTTCCAACAGAAAATATGTTGTCAGTGGCATATCAGACCCATGAGCGCTGATTTTGTGCAATTTGAACAGTAATAGCCCCTGGAGGGTGGGAATAAGGTCTGTCTCCTCAATTTAAGTAACTTCTATTGGCATGAGATGTCATGGAGTTTTTGCCAAAGTTAAATTGTCAGGTCTGTCTGTGGGAGAGTTCCATAGTAAATAAGGTTCACAGATGTTTCCATTCTGCATTACTGTCCAACTCTGATTTGGTGGATCTGGCTGCTATAATTTATTCTCTTCCCAATAAAATAAATACTTGTGTAGGCTAAACAACTGAAAATAAAATAATGGTTCTCAGTAAGCGTAATACTTGACTGCTTTAACAGATATCAGATGCTGATGAAGGCTCTCTCTTACTAGTCTCTTGGGTCAGTGGCCAGCAGTTGGCCCATTGTGGATGGAATACCTTCCTTATATCTCTTTTCTATATGAAATGATGGACAAGGCAAGGTCCAGAGGTTAAGTATTGAGAAGTAGGAAGGTCTCCTGAGGAAAATTGGCTGTAAGCCCAGGTGGCTTACAGTGAAACTGGGGATTGATGGGGACTCTTAAAAGGACAGGGCACATGGCTGAGAAGATGAGAGCTCAGTGGTTGTGTCTGCAGTGAAGGTATCAATAAGAAAAAGAATAAAAAGTCCAAATCAATTAGTCGCAGCATTACAAGGTGGCAAAAGCTTTCATAGGCATACCTGATATGTGTGCCAAAACAACTGTCTGTTTAAATGGCACAGTTGGCTTCCTCACATTTCAGTTTTAAAGGAGGGAGTGGGAGGTTAGTTAGATTTAATTTGTCCTCCTTTTCCTATATTTGAGTATATGCCACAGTATATAGAATCTGACATTTACTGTAATACTTTTGTATTATGAAGTAAACCAAAGGTTTTTGAGAAATAAAAGATTACTAGTGTTTGAGATTTTCCTTTAAAACCATGTCAAAAAAACTTTGTTTTTGTTGGTTCACACTTTTGCAGCATCAGGAGCCCAAACAAAATGACACTGGGCTTAATATGTGAGAGCCAGAAAGTGAAACAGAGAAGCTAGTTTTATTGCCCAAATTGAGGGACATAGTAAAATGCAAACAGGCCAAAGGGTAGAAGGTAAATTAAACCCTGGAATTTGTTCATTCTTAATAATCTAAAAGGCTGTCGCTAACAAAGGGAAGGATTTTTGTCAAGATGCATAATATTTTTTTACTGTCCCTTTAATGTGAATATGTATGAGTAAAACATATTTGGAGGAGAGAGACAGATGAGAGAAACTTTTAGCCAGCAAATGGTTTTTGGACTCAAGAAATTACTTGGGATAACTTTAGACATGCGTGTCTTAAACGCAAACTCAAAGTTTTGAAGTTGTAGAGACAGGGGTTTAATCTGCTACATGCGTCTCCAGCAGGGAAATATCTCCCTTGCCAGTATATGGTTATGGATTAGTGCATGAAGTATAAAAGGAAAATTAAGAGAAGATAAGTGAAAAGTGGGGTCTCATAGGTCAAATGAGCTTTTCTATGCAACGTTGTCTCTCCAATATTTGTCACCATGGCTGAGCCAAGGTCAGCTCCATCACAGGGACCTCTGTTGCTGTTCTGACCTTTTCAAAGCTTGTCTATGCAACAGTGCTTAAAAAGGTTTGGACAACAAGGTGGTGACAGCACTGTCAGCAATCTGAGTCCTGTCTACTTTACTGCTCTTAGCTACCAGCTGAACTGGTGATAGTGACAGTGGAAAATTTCTGAGAAAAAAATGGTGCTAACAGAGCCAGTGGATAGTGTGCAGTGTAAATCCTGCCTCCGTTGCCAATTTAATTCTCATGTCACTGTAAGCCTGGCTCAGATTGAACAAAAATGAACTCGTAAAAAATAAAATCGTTCCTGAAGTGATTTGAAATGTTCCTTGGCTTCTAGCAGATGAGCTTTGGTTGTTCTTCAGCAACTGGTCGTGAGACTCAAAAATAAGGAGTGCAGATCTAAAAAACCCAATACTTTATACTTGTTACAGGATTCAAACATGCCACCCATGTAAAAGAGGAAAGTACAGTGCTTATGGGGAAAACTAAGGCAAAGTGAAGTTTAAATGACTTGACTGAGTTGACAGTACAGTGTAATTAAGCTGCAGTCAGGACTCCAAATGCCCTATCTCCAGGTGTGGTCACTGGACAATTTATTTGTCTGCTTTGGTCTAGATGCTTGGATTGTGGGACTGCCTGAGTACAGCTTTCATGGTCTGTATTGTGAATTTTGCTGTTTGGATACAATCTTAGTCTGCTATGCACATCAAGCCATGTAAAGCTATTGCTTTTGCAGCCTTCTGAAACTGTAAAATCATTTGAAATGAATATGCAGCCACACAGATGGAGAAGTGCCTTACTGAGCAGGGACAGCTGAGACAGTCCCAAGGCTAGCATGGTAGAGTATATTTTAAGATTATTAATTCTGTAAGAAAAAAAATGCTGAATCATACACAATGATGGCAACTTACTTTATTTATCCAGTTCTCCCTCTCAGGGAATATGGGTGATAACATTTATTTTTTGTGACCCAGAAATTGGGGGCTGCAGATTGATCTTCTCTGGCCCTCAGTGTCTTTGACTTTCTTGACAGGCCTAAGCTGGCTACCAGATGTTTAAATTGTCCCCAGGCCTTGATAATTTATTTATATGTTTATGTGTCTTACCAGGAAAGTATCTCTTGAGCTCTTGACTCATTCGCAAGGTAATCCAATGGGAACAGTAGCAACTTATAATGTTCCTAGAAAGTTTTCTTTTAAAAGTATGTCTGCTTCAGTCTTGAGAAACATTTAGAAACATGACATTTAAACTTTCTTCCCTTCTCCCCTCATCCTTGAGACTTTGTTTTTAAACATGTGGCAAAACCCCTCGGTCACAGGCTTGTCTGGATGTATAGAGCAGGGTCTAAAAAACCAACTTTGATCTCCATACACTTTCAGCCATAAAAAATTATAGTAACACTCAAAGTGTCAGGCATTTTTTACTTGTTAAAAGGGAGCTGCTATAGTATAGTGATTTACTGCTGGTGTAAAAATATTGGAGCAAGCAGAAAAATAGTCCCTGTGTGCTGCTTTTTTAAAGTAGCGTAAGAATAACTACAGTGTTGTGTTTTTTCTGAAAGAGGATCTCTCTAAGAAGTTATGCGACAATTTCACCAGTTCACGGTGACGCTAAGAAAAACTAAATTACTATGCAATTAGGGCTACATAACCCTTTTTACCCATGTATCAGTCTTTGTTATTCCCATTTTGAGGCAAATTATTCCACTGAGATCCAAACAAAATTAATATATATTCAGGCTATTATGATTTTAAAAAATCAAAGCAAATATATTGCCTGTTTATGTGCTTGTTTTTTGGAGCAAATCAGGAGTAAGTAGTCCAACCATTTGCTTGCCAAGAAGATTCACATATCATGTTATAGTCTGGCAGATACTTGCCACCCTGTGGCAGAAACCGTGCAAACATTTTTATTCAGATTAAAAAGTTATTTTACAAATTGGGGATGTGTGAAGTATCTGTTATTTCCAAATGGATTCCTGATCCTATTGTTTTCTTTAATAGCAACACTGGTGAGAGAGGCCAGACTGGAGGAGGGTGGTGGGGCAGAAGAGAGCGTATGAACTCATGGATTTAATAAATCAGTTGCTAACAGTATTTCAGTTGCAACTTTTATCCTCAGATGAAATTATCCTCAAAGTGCTCTGAAAAACAAAGGTATCGAGGTTGTAGCCGTTATTGGTCTAGAAGCAAAAGGAATCAAAACTTGTGGCAGAGGTGATATCTTTTATTAGACCAACTAAATATTTGCAAAGAAAAATTCTTTACAGGCAGTTCTCAGACTTATGACACAATTGGATCCTGAAAACTGAGTCTTAAGTCAAAACGTTGTAACTCGGAACCGATTTTCTCATAGGAAACAATGTTATAAATGCGGGATTGGTTCCTGAACCAAGGCCCGATACCCTGTTTTCACCAAAAATAACCCAGAACTTTGTACTCAGTCAATTATAGATTAGTAACATAGCTACATTAATGTATTTATATTGTAAATAGCAATCATATTGATTTGGAAGGACTTCTTTGAGGTGACTTTGCTGGACTTCTTGAAGGGTTCTTGGCTGGAGTCTTCTCAGGAGTCTCGTCTGCTTTCTTAAAGTGTCCAAAGAAGTTTGGACAGATGTTCTCCAGGGAGATGGGCGATGCAGTGAACTTGTTCGTTGGTGTGGCGTTGCGTCAGATCAAACGTTGTAAAGTCAAAACTGATGTCAAAGTTGAAATGGTGTCAATTTATAAACGTTGTAAGTGTGAAACATTGTAACTCGAAACATTGTAAGTTGCGGACTGCCTGTATTTGCAAGCTTTCAGTCACAGGCACCCTTCATTAGTCATACGAGATTGCAAAGATTGTAAAAGCTGTCCTGGGTAGAAATATTCATTTTCATTTCTACCCAGAAGAACGTTTACAATCTTTGCAGTCTCCTAATGAAGGGTGCCTGTGCCCAAAAGCTTGCAAATAATTATATATGTTTTGCAAATATCTAGTTGGTTTAAGAAAAGATATCACCTCTGCCATGAGTTTTGATTCTTGAAAAAGAAACTCACTTCAACTGTCTCAGGAATAGGCTGTGGTGTCTGTTCTGATAGTGTACAGCAATAGTATACACTGGTTTAATCCAGGAAGTAAAGAGCACTATATGCAGAGTAAGATGAATGAAGAAA